TTTTTTTTTTTTTATTCTTATAACGACTGTTATAAAGCGATAAACTGAAATATATTTTACGCCAAGCATCTCGAACATCCATTTCGATCATTCGAAGAAAAAAAAATCTGTTTTTCTATTCTGTTCGCAAAATTGGACCATTTAACGTTAATCATTTCTCAATCATTTTTATGGTTAACGAATAACAATTTTTTTTCTATCATATATGATTTTTTAAAGAAGATTCAAAATTAATTTTGAGAATGAGTGTCTTTGCTTTGAATAAAATCATCTTCGTTTGTTAATGATGGATAATAATTATTGGAGTATACGTAAAAAAAAAAATGTAAATAATATTAAAAATTTACTGTAAAATAAAAATTACGAAAAATTACTCTTCGTTATCGTATTATTATTTGTGACAAGAAAATTTTTATCAAAATCCATATATAGCGGAAATAAATTAAAATGTTCGTGTTATATGGTCCATTCTATAGTATAGCGAGTATTACGATAAAAATTATCGAAAACGTTACAATAAAAATTATCGATCGTTAAGAATTAAAAAAAAAAAAGATTTTATCAGAAAAATAGAAGATATCTTTCAATCGTGTATGCATACGTGAATCAATTTACTTGTAAAAGAAGAAAAAGCAACGGTAAAAAAAAGTAAGAAGAAAATAACGTTATTGTTGAACAATTTTATCATATCCATTAAAGAAACTGCAAAAATTGAAAATATATTATATATTACGTATGCATATAATAATATAATATTAATATATAACGATATATTGTATCAAAGAAGAAATATCGTTTTTGAGAGGCAAGGTGTTCGAGAGCTATGGTTGATGATTTGACAATGACAAAAGATTCTACGAAAAATAATCGTATCTTCCTTGCTATTCCAATTTTATTTCCATGTTTTTGGCTTTTGAAAATCAGCACTTTTTAAAATAAAAAACTTGACAAGAATTATACTTCAACTTTCGTACAAAATTCAATTTATAGATTTGTAAACTCGTCACGTTTTATTTATTAAATCTATTAAAAATTTTTCTCTATATTATTGAATCTTATTATATTATTATATTAATGTAGAAATTATTGGAAAATTTATTTATTGGTCTTCATTCACATGATTGAAATTCGTAAAATCTCGTTGATAATTTTGAGGTTATATTATTACTTTTCGTCACGATTACGATTGATAATATCGTTGTTGATGCATAAATAATTTTACACGACTGTGAAGCTCTTTAATCGTACTGACTCGCATCCACTTGCATTCTTGCAACGAAAATGTGTTTATGAAACTGTGAATATATATAAAATAATAATTAAGTAATCATGCAGCGGGAGGAAAAGTGTTCTCGATAATGATTTCGAAATTATTTTTCTTATTTAACCTTAACCCCCACTTAACACTCTCTTATATTTCATTCATTATATTTATAAACACACGAATTATATAATTTCTTTAGAAATTGTAACGATATTTTATATATATATATATAATTTTCTTACACACGACACATAACAATAATAAATAAACTAATGAAATAATCACACGAAATAATTAAAACATTATATTTTCATTTCCGTACGAATATCGAAGAAATCATTTTCTACAATAATATCTCGATTTTCAACTAAAAAGAAAAATATATACACATATATATATTCTAAATTACACTTTCATACTTTTTTCTAAAAATACGTATACAATTTATCAGAGAGAGAAAGAGAGAGAGAAAGAGAGAGAGAAAGAGAGAGAGAAAGAGAGAGAATTATTCAATTTCTTCCTGTTAACATT